GAATAGACATCTATTAGTCCGGCGCGACCTCGAAGCTTTGAACGAGCCAGCCATTCGAACCGCACACTTCCGGCTACTGATTGGAATCCAATCAACCAGAGCAGCTTCAGCCCGGGAACTCAGGGCAATGCCAACACCAGCTTGGCCGGTGCTCGAAGCTGCATCGTCACCCGATAGGCGCAATGAGAAAATACTGCTTGCGTCGCCTGAAGGAGACCGCAGATTGAGCACAGTGCTCAAGTCTTGCAAGCGAGTCTCTGAGAAGCAGCAGATATCGATCGAGAGGGTCTCAAATGCTCGGGCAAGTGCTGCCTGTTGACCGATTTGTAGCAGTGTGCGTACATTGAGGCATGCCAATCTGAAGGAGGATTGAGGGCTCCAAATGGAAGCCGATGAACTGGAATGGACCGCTTGGTTGGACCTGGGCTTGTCGACAGGAGAGGAGTGACGCTCCGCGTTCACATGTGAGTTGAAATAAGAAGGTAAATGCCTAGCAACGCATGTTGGGGAGGGCCAAGAATCAGGGGGTTGAAAACTGGGGGGATATAAGTGAAGTTGGAAGGGGACGGTAAGAGTGAAAAAGTGTAAGAGGGAAGACGGGAAGGCTTGTGCAGTAGCATCCAAACCCCTATCCACCCTGCTCGATGCAGCAGATAGGGCACCGTTGATTATCCTCTGCGGTGGCCAGAGCATCAAGAAATTGTTTGAGGAAAGATTCATTGTATTGCGTGGGCGGTATACTGTCAGGTTGCCCAGGCCTAGACAGGAGAACGATTAGGGTTATCAACCAAAGCATTTGGTTCAAAAACCTGACCGCAAGGCAGCGGGTTTGGCGGTGGGCTACAAGGAGTCCGTTTTAAGGAATAAGGTGCCACCCTCATTAAAACCCCAACATGGAGGACCAGGAGGCTGAGTTTGCCTGGCCTCTAACCATTGACCAATCTGGTATGAGTGAATCAGAAGGTGCAAAAGCACCGCTCAGCATAGCTCAATGGATAGCTAAGGCACACAAACAATCGTATCACGGTAGGGTCCAGCCTCATTGCACCAAACACAATTTAAACAGGCAAGCCGATTAGGAGACAGCAACGGACCCGCCACTGGTGTCGGTTGCGAGCCATGTCCTGTAACGTCTCGAGCCAAGCACAAGGCGAGTCACGTGGACATCAGCCCGGAAGACGAGACGAACCAAAGCACCCATGTTTTTGTCCTCAATTACTTCATTTCCCGCTGCAAAGTCAACTTCTGTCCACCTCGAGCGTTGCGTCACCCTACACGTAGCAGACTAAACAAGGCCTACGTAAGCGGTGACCAGGCATACGTAGCACGTGCCCGAGCCAAAGCAACTTATTCAGTACCATCTGTTGTTATATGGAGCTAGCATGATTAGCATTACCTAGTGCTCACCTACGCACATCATCGTTGCGGACACGCTGGTGTCACCCGACAACAGCAATGCTTCGCAGACAACGAAAAGACTTGGAGGCGCCTCAGATCTTCTGACCGAAGGGGCCAAGTCTCACTAACGTAGAGCAGAACGGCCCTCACTGTGGCCTTGTATACACGGTCTTACAAACGGAGGGAACTTCCCATCTGTCGCCAAAGATGCCGCAGATTCAAGAAGACAGCTTTGTCCTTTGCAATGCATGAGCTTACGTTAGTTTCCATGCGTTCATCGTTGCTGATGCAGCTGCCAAGACAAGTGCATTGATCAAGTACCTCGAGTTCCTCGTTAGCAAGCGTCAAGGTGTCATCAAGTGGCTGGTGGTCCTGCAGCAACAATTTGCACTTTGAAGTTGCGAAGTGCATACCAGATAATGGGACCAATCTGGACAGGCTATTCAGGGTTGATAGTGCCGTCGCAACATGGTCGAAAAGCAAGACGATATCGTCGGCATAATCTAGGTCCACTAACCTTTCACCAGGCAGCACCTCAACGCCCACATCGTGAGATTCCGCAAGAGAACACTCCATGATAGAATCCACAACGAAATTGAACAAACATGTGGAAAGCGGACAACCCTGACGAGCGCCACTTGTGGTTGGAAAGCTATCCGATAGGACACCGTAGACCCTGACGCGGCCCGTAGTGTCCGAGTATAGAGCACGAAGGATGTGCACATATTTCGTGGGTACATCTTTCCGCGCAAATATCCCAAAAAGAATGCATCGTTCGACTGAATGGAAGGCACTATTGAAATCGAGCAACATAGCTGTTGTAGGTCTGCGGTATGCGTGGCGCTGCTCCAGTATCTGCCGCAAAGTGAATTTATGGTCTATACGGCCGCGTCCTGGGCGGAAACCGGCCTGCTCTTCCGTAATCCGAGATTCCTGTCTCGCAGTGAGGCGACGAACGAGAATCGAGGCCAATACTTTTGTCACAGCTGGAGTTAGGCCAATACACCTGTGCTTAGATCAGTCTGTGCGACTACCCATCTTGCATTTTGCCACTAAAATCGATTCGCTCCAATTAGCCGTGACGCTCTCTTCGTTCCAGATAAGTTGGAATAGGGAGGTCCGCGCATTGCAGAGGACTTCACCTCCATCCTTAAATAGTGCAGGTGGGAGGGAATCCGGGCCAGCGGCACGAAAACGAATAATGGCTGTGATCGCGTTTCGGAACTCGGCCTTTGACAGAGACTATATACGAACCGTTAATGGCTCGTTCTGCTTCACCCGAGTAGGAAGAGAGCCGAGGGCAGTGGGTCGGCTGAACCGATCTTGAAAATGTTCCGCCCAAGGAGCCCTACGGCGCTTCTTACTGTGTCAGCGCACCCGCGCTGTATTCGAATGTCTGAGAGATATCTGCCTTTCTGGGATCAATGGTGCGGATTAGCTGGAAGAGCTGGAGTTATTTGTCTACTGCTTCTGCCTCCGTCTTGTGTTGAGGTCAACGGCGGGTACCGCAGTTGGAGGCTTCTGAATCAGGTGCTCTCTCAATAGATTTACCGAATACATATAACTATCCGTGTTAAAAGCATGTTGCAGGAACAGACCGCATGACCAAACCCATACAGTGCGGTATTCGCCACAGTTGGGCTAAAATAAATGACGGATGTACTACGCAAAGCTGGATGTGGCTAAGAGCAATATCTACACGCAAAAGTCATACCACACCAGAAAAATTTCAAGCAGAGTGTTACTTGGGCGAAAGTTAATATAAGCTATAGACATAGCACATGCAGGGATTCCCGCTGGAATCCAGAAATCATTAACACATTCATTGCAATCGGAACTACGGGTAAGATAACGTATCTTATGTGTGTTTCCATATTACTGAGGGATTCCTGAGAAGTCAAACAACAGAACTGTCTTCCATATTTGGATGTTGTTGTCAACCGCAGAGATAACGGACTGCTACCAAGGTCTGTTAATCGAAAAACAACGTGGTCGGGCAGTATCTGCATTTTAGCAGCTTTACGCCAATGCGGCACAAGCGAACGCTTGTGAAGACCCTGTTTAGTCGCGCCAAACAAATTTGTTCGACCGATTGTCTAGCCGATGAACTAGAACTAATTACAAACACGTTACTAGCTAATGGCTACCCTCGAAACTTTATCCGGAAGCACAGCGAAATCTGTGAAATGAAAGTTGCTGTACCTAGTGCGTCTAAGGAAACGGTATTTTTGGAGATGCTCTTTAAGGGCGACATTGCTTCATTGAGGAGAAGAAGACTTCTGATTTGCGCCCCACAGAGCACTTTCTGTGCTGTCGAAGTTGTAAACATCCACCGAGCTCAAAAGTTACCGTTGCCTCGACTAAAGGAAACTCAGCATATTGGCGCCATATCCCACTGCATATATCAATTCATATATAACTACGGGGCTAGGTACATAGGCAGAACAAATGGAAAACTGAGTTCCCGAATACAGGAGCATGTACCAAGATGGGTTCAATGCGGGCTTATTCAGCAAGCAAGCCCAAATCAGACTACGTGTTTAGGCAGGCCGACAGCAAGTTCGATCGGCAGGCACTTATTGACATCAGGTCAACGAATTGAGGACAACAAGGTGCTTAGAATCCTGCTTCGCCATACCACTTCCCGGCTCCTCCAGTTTGCCAAGACGATTGCCATTAATCGGATTAAGCCAGTGCTTTGTGTTCAGAAACAATTATCGGACAGTCTCAGGCTGCCCTGATTGTAGAAGTAAGAAGCTCTTTTTTCACTCGTTTGTTTGTATGTATCTCTTTACCCACAGACACTAATAATTAGTTTCCGGTTATCGTTTTCAGCAATGATGAGACGATACGAAGTGCATGCATCTGCCAATCATCGACTTATAATAATATTTTCACTTTACTAAAGGCAACTAACTGTATTCCTTTCCTCAAACGACGCATTTCCCCTGATTCCATTAAACTGTTTCATCGTATCTTCAACCTGAGGTGCAGGATTACTCGCATATATGTGGACATTAAATTTTGTCGGATTGCATTCGCATACTTCTTTATCCTCGGGCGATTTGGAAACTTTTACGTAGAAACAAGCTTAAACATTCTGCAGGTTGTCGTTATTGGCACTGTTGGAACGATACGAAATGCATGCATGTGCCCAACTTAGTCTCTATTTGCGCTTTACAAATTATTGTCACAGTTGCAAGAAATGCATTTCGCACCACATATGATGAGGAGGCTTTTACTCCGCAATTCATCAGCAAGCATATTGGTTTGGAACCAACTCCCCGCTTCACGAGAGAATCCGAATTTTACAGAGTCATATTTGAACTTGAGTAGGATATTTTATGCTTCACATCGAGTCACGGTTTTGCGAGATATTGTGTGGACGCTAATACTGGTAGATATCTAGGGAGCATGCCTGTAGTCTACAATGTCTCCAATCACAAGGCAGATGATATGCAGTAATTGTGTGGAGATAAGTAGCTCCAACTAACAGTTATGGAATTCTTAACTTACCATCGCTTATTTGGTTTCCATGTGATATAATCTACTTTGGATTCCTTAGGAAAGCTAACCAAACTGTGACTTCTCCATCCCAGCAGGAACCGAAAATTCCACGGTGAATGTACTGACGTCACTGAACGTGGCCCATATTCCTAAACATCGAAGCAGCGTAAGTTTCGTGAATCGCGTCCGACATCCGTACCTTTTGGTTCAACACTTTGCTTTCCATGAATATTCCGCTGATTTGCAAATGAACTGAGGTGGTTACTGGTGTTAGTATTCCTGGAGTCGGTAGAGTCCGTCTAGGTAACAACATATCGGGACCTAGTCCTATGCAACTCGTCAATGTTCCACCTTTATTGGGAGTTGAATATAAAATGGAATATCTTTGGTTAAGATGACTAGACTCTACCTGGTATGCTACTTAGGGTAACATGTATCATGATGAGTACAACGGAATATTGAGCAACACGTGAAATAACCGCGAAATACAATCGCGTTAAATAAGCGCAATAAAGATACGTTAGGTGTGGCTCATCCGTCCTAGATAGGTGCAGTATAGATACTAGATTGCACAAAGTCGCTAGTTAATCATGTTTGATTGATATTGTACATAAGCGCAGCTTGCAAGCGTGCTAGCATATGGAAGACACAAAGAGGATGACGGAGATGGAGTAAGCAACTTTCCAAGTTCGCAAGGAAATGTTGCGATTGTGTCCATTGCTATTCATAAGCTCAGGGATGTTGAAGTCAGCGGTGAGAGAAGGGTATCTATAACTATGCACAATTTAACAACCATAGTAGAAGCATCATGGAACAGTGATGCCTAATCGTAGATGTGTGCTGTGAATTCCGCCTCCTATAATAACTGCAGGCTATGCGTGTTGAAAAGTAAACCAGAGCCGGTCCGGTCGTCTCATGTCCGAGGTGAGCGATAGTTGACAGTTATGTAGAATCACCAGGCAGTCAGTCGTGTGTTACATTTTATATCCCCCTGCTCATTCTTTG